GTTCTTTCTCTCTCTCAAATAAATAAAATCTTAAAACAAAACAAAACAAAACAAAACAGACTCTGGAACTCTACCTGGAAGCAACACCCCTGATTTTTTGCAGAAATGTCTCTTCTCGTGTTATACAATTAGTGGGTAGGCACATAAACTCTGCTGGGCTCACCACAGAATTTTTTTTTTTTTAAGTTTTTTTTATTTATTCATTTGACAGCGATCACAAGTAGGCAGAGAGGCAGGCAGAGAGAGACGGAGAAGCAGGCTTCCCGCTGAGCAGAGAGCCCGATGCGGGACTCAATCCCAGGACCCCGGGATCATGACCTGAGCTGAAAGTAGAGGCTTAACCCACTGAGCCACCCAGGTGCCCCTAGAATTTTTTTGTTTTTAAAGATTTTATTTATTGGGGCATCTTGGTGGCTCAGTGGGTTAAGTGTCTGCCTTTGGCTCAGGTCATGATCCCAGGACCCCGAGATCACCAGCCCAGCCGAAGGCAGAGGCCCAACCCACTGAGCCACACAGGTGCCCCCCCACTTTTTTAAAGTTTTATTTAAATAATCTCTACACCCAATGTGGGTTTCAAACTCACGATCCTGAGATCAAGAGTTGCATGGTCTACTGACTGAGCCAGCCAGGTGCCCCTAGAATGCTCCTTCTAAGTGGACTTCTAAGAACTGGCTATGGTAGGGTCGCTGTAGGACCCAGTCAGCCCTGAAAGGTCCTGGCTTCAGCATGTTGCTGGGGCACCAGTTCTCATTGTTAAAAGCGTCCTGGTTTGCATCTGAATAGATGCCTTCAAGAGATAAGATATAGCTCCTTCAAATTCCCATTTTCTCTTTATTCTAGACTTCACCCACAAACTTGAGCCACACCTGCGTATAAGGGACTTTCAAGACACCCATTCCCAGTGCCAGGCTGGCGCAGTCCGTGCAGAATGCAGCTCTTGCTCTCAGGGCTGGTGGAGAGATTACTTACATAAATAAACTTAAAAAAAAAAAAAAAAAAAAAGTCCCTGGGGCTCCTGGGTGGCTCAGTGGGTTAAAGCCTCTGCCTTCGGCTCAGGTCATGATCCCAGGACCCTGGGATCCAGCCGCACGTTGCGCTCTCTGCTCACGGAGTGCCTGCTTCCCTATCCCCTGCCTGCTGCTCTGCCTACTTGTGATCTGTTAAATAAATACATAAAATCTTAAAAAAAAAAAAAAAAAGGCCCTTCTACCTTCCGACCACAAGGCCACTGTCACATCTTCATCTCCTGTGTGACTCCACAGACTTTTCTCTTCCAACCTTCCCCACTGCAGGACCGAAGGCCCCAGCAAGTGTGGAAGGCTCTGCATGTCTGAACTCTTTCCCCGCCCTTCCTGAGACGTCTCCTGGAAGAGGAGCGGAGTTTTAGCGACTGGAGATGCCACCTGGGGAGCGCAGACCTAGAGAGCCGCGGTCAGGGCCGCCGAAGGCAGGAGGGCACCGCACACCTTGTTCTCAAGGTCGGCGCGCGGGTCCTCCGGCTTCTGCAGCTGGTAGGTGCCGCAGACCAGCAAGTGCCTGCTGCCTTCCAGAGGGCACCACTCCACCGAGTCCGCGGTGTACTCCGTGTCCACCGCCTGCAGCAGCCGGACGCGACTTCCCGGGCCGCAGGAGTCAGACCCGGACACAGCGGAGACCGGGCGGCGAAGGGGGGGTGGCGAGGCCAGGTTGAGAGCGGGGGTCGGAGTCGGGGCTGGGGTCCGCGGGGAGAGCGGGGTCGGGGCTGAGGTCGGCGGGGAGAGCGGGGGTGGGGGCTGAGGTCGGCGGGGAGCGCCGGGACCGGGATCGGAGTCGGGGCTGAGGTCCGCGAGGAGGAGAGAACTACGTTCCGGACCCGTCGTTTTTACTTCCGCAATCGCCCCCACCTCCGGGGCACCGGGGCGGGACTTCCGGCCGCCGTTGTAGCCTCGCGAGAGGCCGGGCTCTTGCGCCCCCTGCGGGCGGACCTCCGCGGGCTGCACGCGGGTCTGGAGGCGGCAGCCCAGTATCCAGTCGGAATGGCATTCGAGGGGGCTCCTATAACGGCTGGAGGGAGGGGGACAGGGGGAAGGAGAAGGGAAACAGGGCACGGAAGTAGGGGTGAGCAGAGGACCTAGACCTTTAGGGAGCCGAGTCCGGGGTCCGGGGTCGGCCCCAAAGGGGCTGGGCCATGCCCGCCCTCTGACCCTCACGGCCATCCGAGGGGGCTGCCGGGCCTGCGAGAAGCGCGGGGCACCCGCGGACGCAGGCCCGCCTGCCAGGACGTAGGAGAAAGGAGCCAGGGCCAGCTGGGGGTGCCTGATGCGCGGCGGGCTGGGGTGGTGGACACGAAGGTGGACAGGGGGCCTGGGGAAGAGCCCGCGTCTGGGCCCAAGGGGCAGGGCTCTGTCGGCCTCTTAGAATGTAAGGGAGGATATCGTGCACAGCCCCGATCTGATCTGGGAGGCTGAGGAGATGCTGCTGCCGGTCAAGAAAACCAGTATATACTACAGCACAGGTTTGGGGACCGCGAGCTTTGGACGTTGTTAAGGATGGACTGAACTGTCTCTCCAGAAAGCTGGGAAGTCCTATCCCGCAGCACCAGAGAACGTGACATTTGGAAACAGGGTCTTTACTGAGGTCACCCAGTTGAAATGAGGTCATTAAGGTGGGCCCTAGTCCTACAGGACTGGTATCTTTATTTTTTAAGATTTTATTTATTTATTTGGCAGAGATCACAAGTAGGCAGAGAGGCAGACAGAGGGAGAAGCAGGCTCCCCACTGAGCAGGGAGCCTGATGTGGGGCTCGATCCCAGGACCCTGGGATCATGACCCGAGCTGAAGGCAGAGGCTTTAATCCACTGAGCCACCCAGGCGCCCCTTTATTTATTTATTTTTTAAGATGTTTTTATTTGTCAGCGAGAGAGAGGGAGAGTGCGCGCACACAAGCAGGGAAGCGTCAGACAGAGGGAGAGGGAGAAGCAGTCTTCCTGCTGAGCAAGGAGCTGATGTGGGGCTCCATCCCAGGACCTTGGGATCATGACCCCATGACCTAAGCCAAAGGCAGACACTTAACCTACTGAGCCGCCCAGATGCCCCTGACTGGTATCCTTCTGAAGCGGTGATTTGGTCTCTCAAGAACAGACCCACACAGGGAAGATGACATAAAGACGGAGGGTTGGTACGAAGGAAGGGTCACCTGAAACTGCCAGAAGCTGGGAGAGGTCTGGAACGCACACACCTTGTCCTCAGAGGGGGCATGGTCCTGCCAACACCTTTATTTGGGACTTGTGACCTCCACAAATGGGGTGATACATTGTTGTTCTGAGCCATGTAGCTGTGATACTTTGTTGGGATGACCCCAGGGAACTGGATAAAGCTGACTGAAATCCCCACTCCCCACGGATACCTGGGGACCCAGCCTGCAGTTCAGAAGCAGGGCTTTGGCTGGAAATACAGCTGTGAGCCAGCAGGTCAGAGGGTGGCTGAGCAGAACCACAGAAGAGGCTGGTCAAAAAGAAACAGGACTGTCCAAAACGGCTGAACCACACACGCACCTGGTACAAGAAATGGTCAAGGGGAACCTGGCTGGCACAGTCTGTAGCATATTGAAGCTTGATCTTTGGGTCAGGAGTTTGAGCCTCACATTGGGTTCAGACTAAAAAATCTTTAAAAAACAAAACCAAACCAAAAACCACCTAGGTGGCTCGTTTGGTGAATCGTCTGCCTGGCTTCAGCCAAGTTTATGCTCCCAGGGTCCTGGGATCAAGTCCCACATGGGGCTCCCCGCTCAGCAGGGAGTCTGCTTCTCCCTCTGCCCCTCCCCCTGCTTGTGCTCCCTCTTCCCCTCTCTCAAATAAATCAATTAAATTTTAAAAAGTCAAAGTCAAGGGGCACCTGAGTGTCTCAGTCAGTTAAGCATCTGCCTTCAGCTCAGGTCATAATCCCAGGGTCCTGGGATCAAGTCCCACCTTGGGCTCCTTGCTCAGCAGGGAGTCTGCTTCTCTTATCGCCCCTCCTCCCCGCTCACGTTCTTTCTCTCAAATAAATAAAAATCTTTAAAAAAAAAAAAAAAAAGGCCAAGTCAAGCAGCTCCACATACTACACAAGCCCCTTATTTTAACCATCTGAATGTTAACCTTCCTCTCAGGTGTATGGCTATAAAGATCAAGAGATTGGGGGCCATCAGAGGAGGAAAGAAATGAGGGGCTGGTATCAGAGAAGGGACAAGGGACACACATGGGGTAAGAGCTGTCTACGGATCCTACAGCACCTTCCTGACAGCGTCCACAGCAGGGGCCACAGCGATGATGGAAGCATAGGGAACAAGTCACTCCACAGGCACCTTCAGAACCTTACAGCTCCAGCCCAGAGCCCGTCACCAGCACAGACCTGGGGCTGAGGTGTCTAACACACAGTACGGGGCACAGCCCACTGGACAGGGAACAGCCACCAGTGGGCGGCACCTGCTTTAAGCAGCCACACTGGATGGCAATCCCTGGGCCAGTGCTATTTTAGACTAACTGCACCACATGGAAGAGACCAGCGGTGTGTCAGGACCTGGTGTGGTGTCCAACAGGTCAGCTGGGACCTTTTGATGTAATTTTCTGACGAGTAGCTGCCCACAGGACAATGTGTGCGGGTTAGGGAATGCAGACAGGCTCCAAGTGCCCAGACACAAAGGTTACGGCCAAAGACCACAACCTGTGGTCTGGTGTCTCATCCCAGGAGCCTCTGTTGGAAAGCAACTTGTGTGAGCACACTCAAGGTCCTGTGCCGGGAAGACCACCCAAACCCCAACATGCCGGCCTACACAGGTGCCCCACCCAACAGTCCTGACCAGAGCTGACCTCTGGAAGCAGGAGTCACGCCAACCCCGGGAACGCCCCAAGAGCTCAAACCAACTGCTGTCTGTAGGACTCTCAGGATCACACATATTGCCCTCCCCAGAAGATTTCTGATCCCCCATTACCACTCAACCTAGGGTCTGGCGAGACCTAGAGCAGACCTTGCCTATGGAGCAAGGACATCCCTGACCCAGAAAGCAGCACTCACGCTGCCAGCGGCACCAGGCGGGGTTCTCACCTTCACAGCGGCCCCTCGGGGTTCGGAAGGGTCCCTCCTGCGCCCTGTAGGTTGCCTTCACCTGACTGCCCCAGTCTGGCTCTCCAAGACGTACTGCCCAAGGACTGCAAAAGAACCTACCAGAAGCTCAACTCACCAAGGACACCAAGAGTCTGTCCCCAGACAAGGAAATGAGCACACACAAGGCAAATGGGACACACTGGAAGATGGCAGAAGACCTGCATGAGGGAAAGTGTGGCAGCAACCCTTGGGACCAACACGGGGAAAGGGACAGCCCCGGATACATGCTCGGAGGTGGAATGGCCAGCCTTCCTTCTCCCAGGAAGTAAAGCCTCTGGTGGGCTGGCTGGATCTGGAAACCAGTAAGTTCCTAGGCACGGAGCCTGGCTTATTGCCCTAAAGTGGTTCGGCAAGGTGTAAGAGGCCCTGCCCAGCCTTCAGACCCTGGGCTCCTGAAGGGGGAGGAAACCCAGCAGAGCAGATGGGGAAGCAACACTCTCTCACCCTGGTTACTCCAGCACACAGGCAGGACCTCTGGAGCTCGGCCAGGCAGAAGCCCCGCCACACAGTGCGCGAATCCAGGTGAGAGTTTACCTGCGCCAGGGCTGAGAACATTCCATGCCCGCCAAACAGGGCCGCCTGCTCCAACGCCCCCGGCTACCCCTGCCACAGGACAAGCGTGGGTCTGGGTCTCCCACTCCGTGCCCACCTGCCTCCTCTCTCTCTCAACCCAGGAATAAAGGCAACGCCGCACCCGCAGCCCTAGACCACCTTGATTCACTCAGAAATAAAGCTCAACAGCATCGAGGGCAAAAAGGAGAAGGAAGAACGGCTGAGGCACTCGATGATTCCACCCCTTTACTGTGCCTTGTAGACGCGACCCCAGACAGGCCACGCTCCCCGGGGCTGCAGCTGCCCAGAGAAGCTTCTGTCACGTGACACTTTCTAGGCTTTTTAAACATGTGGCCCGACCGTTTGCCATTTGAGAATTACAGCAAATGATTCTATTTGTAATTTCTAACCCTCCCACTGCCTCCCCCCAAAAAAACTGTACATGAGTTTACAAACATATTAACATATAAATAACGAGAAGCATCCCAGTGGGAGCCTCCCCAGCTGTCTGTGCTCGGAGCTGAACACCACAGGGACCGCTGAGCCCACCAAGTCCCCATGACGGCGGCTGCCAGGCTGCGAGCCACCGGCTCCTCCAGCACCTCCAGGCCGACCGCCGTACTGTATCTGCCGCGCCCAAGGAAGGTCCGGCGGCGCGGTCACCGCTCGGGCTCCAGCTCGTGCTGGAAGGGGCGCTTCTTCTCCCGACAGTGCTTCTTGTGGGCCGGCCAGTCCTTCTGCTGGCACTGGGAGCCGCAGTACCGGGCCGCCTGGCAACGCCCGCAGATGTTGAATTCGCGCAGCTGAAAGAACACAGAACCACGGCTTCACCGTCGCGCCAGGGGCCCGGCTGCGGGGCCGACACTACATCCCCATCGGAAAGGGCCGGGCGAGCCCATGCGCCAAAGCTGCCGCGGAAAAGCCGCTGCAGCCGGGGAGCCACTGGAGGCGCCGGGCGGGGGGCGCGGCCGCACTGGTACCTGCTTCTCGATCATCGTGCAGGGCGGGTAATGGCACTCGTAGTAGGTACAGGAGCTTTCCTCCTCTTCCACCACATCCCCGTTGGCGTTATAGTAGCGGGTCACGTTCAGGACGGGGAACTGCTCCTCGATGGGGTCCGTGGGGAGCTGCTGAATCGCCAGCCAGTATAAGCTTTGCTCCCTGGAAAAGACAAGCAGACACCTCAGCACGCTCCAGCCAGACACCGCCAAGGTAGGGATGCAACGGGGACACGACCTCAGGACAAACTGTTTGCCCTGCTCTGTTTTCACGACATCTTGAACTTGGCTTCTCTTTGCCCCCACACAGCACTCGCAGTGGGGCTGATCTGTGTGTGGCATCAGGGACTGACCCACTAAAAGGTACACAGCAGGGCTATGTCTACCTCACTCCTCAGCCCCCCAGATCTGGGACTGACAGGCACACGGCAGGCAGAGAGGACACGTAGTCTCAGGACTGGGACCCGGCCAAGCCTGGCAGCCTTTTTCCCTGCTCATGGCCCCAGAGGCACCTGCCTCTGCCCCAGCTATCTCCCCTTTGATGCAGTGAGCTGCTCTATGTCCTTAGTGGACCAGAAGCTTACAACTAAGGAATCCTACCTGACGTGAGGCCTGAGGCTCCCCGATGGGCCCCACTGGAGCACAGGGTGAGTGGGGAAAGTGCAGGCAGTCCACAGCCCGCCCTGGTGCCGGGCTGCATAGGAGCAGGCTAACACCCCTTTCACCCCACCAACCCCATGGGGGCCAGGCCTGGAGAGACTTGGTTACATACAAAAATTAATTCGAAATGGATCAAGGACCTTAGTGCAAGCCCTCCGGCACCTGGCCGGCTCAGTCAGTGCGGCAGAGCTCTAACTCTTGATGTTTGGGTCAAGAGTTCACGCTGGGCCTAGAGCTTACTTAGAAGAACAACAAAAAAAGCACACTATCCACAGAGCTACAAAGGCAACCCACAAAATGAGGGAAATATATGAAAATCATGTGTTTGATAAGAAATTAATATCCAGAATATATAAACATCTCCCATAACTCAACAAGAAAAACACCAAACAACCAGATATAAAAACAGGCAAGAGGAGGGGCGCCTGGGTGGCTCATTCATTAGGCGTCTGCCTTTGGCTCAGGTCACGAACCCAGGGTCCTGGGATTCAGCCCCGAATTGGGCTCCCTGCTCAGCAGGCAGCCTGCTTCTCCCTCTGCCTCTCCCCCTGCTTGTGTTCCCTCCCTCACTGTCAAGTAAATAAATAAAATCTTAAAAAAAAAAAAAAAAAAAAGGTAAGGGGTGCCTGGGTGGCTCAGTAGGTTACGCACCAGACTCTGGATTTCAGCTTGGGTCATGAGCTTAGGGTTGTCACACTGGGCCCCACACTGGGCTCCATACTTGGCGGGAGGTCAGTTGAGATTCTCCCTCTCCCTCCCCCACCAATAAATAAATAAATCTCTAAAAATACCCAAAAGACCTGAATACACTCCTCTAAAAGCAGATGTACAAATGACCAGTACACACATAAAAAGATGACTATCATTCCTCATCATCGGGAAAATATAAATGAAAACTAAAACGAGATTTTCACCCCACACTCATTAGGATGAGTGAAACAAAACAAAAACCAGAGTGTACTGAGTGCTGGCGAGGACGTGGAGAAACGGGAACCGTCGTGCGCTGCGGGCGGAGATCTAAAGCAGCGCAGCCGCTATGGGAATGAGGATGGCGGCACCTCAGAAAGTTAAAAGGAGAACCACCCTACAGCCCAGCACCTGCACTGCTGGGCACAGACTCCGACCAGCTGGAAGCAGAGTCTTACAGAGACACCTGGACTCTCGGGCTCACCGCAGCAGCATTCGCAACAGCGGAGCTGTGCAAACAACCCAAGTGCTGGTCGTCGTCAACACGCCAACAGGTGAGACGTGGTAGAGAAATAGAATGGATCATCATTCAACCTTAAGAAGGGTGGAAATCCTGACAAAGGCTCCGTCAACGACAGACCTTGAGGACATTGTGCTGAGATAAGCCTGTACCAAAAAGACAAATCCCGTAGGGTAGTACTCCCAGGAGACCCTAGAGGAGTCAGATCCAGAAACAGAGAATGGAAAGGTGGGGGCTTGGGGCGGGGACAGGTCCGTGTCTAACGGGGACAGAGTATGAGTTTGGGACAATGGGAAAGTTCTGAAGGTGGATGGATGGCGGGGATGGTGGGTCTATTCGATGCCACTAAACTGGCCATTCAAACATGGTTACGATGGGGGCACCAGGGTGGCGTAGTCGCTCGTCTGACTCTCAGTTGTGGCTCAGGCTGCGACCGTAGGACTGTGGGGTGCGGCTCGGGTGGGGCTCGTGCTCAGCCGAGCCTGAGATTCTCTCTCCCTCTCTGGGTTCCTGCCCTCCCCGCCCCTTGGGCACACTCTCACACATGCATGCTCTCTCTCTAAAATATTTAAATCTCAAAAAAAAAAAAAAAAAAAAAAAAAGGTTAAAATGGTAAATGTTACATGCGTTTTACCACAACGAGAAAAGTTTTTTAAAGTAAAGAAAAGGGGAAGAGCCGGGATGTAGGAGGCTCCTGGCGCCTTCAGAGCTTTCAATGAAATCCTACAAGACAGAGGTACACTTGGGCCCCAGACGGCTTCTAAAAGCAGAAAGCCAAGAAAACACACTTTGACAAAGAGACCCTCCACCCCTGCCCCCAGATGAGCCACCCTTGTGGCCACTGCACTGAAGGGAAGCCAGGTGGGATGTGCAGGCCTGGGAGAATCCATGGGCCATATTCCCAGCCTCACAGACAGGTTGATTCCCACCACAAGAACCAGCCATGTGAAGGCCACCAGCTGAGAAAGAGAAGGAGACGTACTGCCCAGGCCAGCTGGGAGTTCACGCTGCACTCAGCCTCGCTCTGACCCACAACAAGCACTCAGGCTAGCTCTGACCCACGGTGTGACCGCTGCTGGGAGTCCCCATCCCTAGCCAACAAACTAAGGATGGCACCACTTGATTGTCTCCTGAGAGGTCACAAAGGAGCCTCAAGAGCAGAGCCTCAGTCCTGGGCCTCCCAGGAGCAGCCTAGAGGAGCATGGGGACAGCCCGGCCACAACCCAGCAGAGACCACTCCACAGGGCAGCCTGGGGTGCAAAGGACCCTTTTGCAAAAAGGTGTTTTCAATTGTGGTTATCTTATCTCATAACCATAAATAATGTTCAGATGAGTAAATGTAACATTCAGCCATAGGTTGGCCAAACCATGAGTCACACAAAGGCCTAAAGCGACAGACTTCATAACCCAGAGCTCCTGAAAGGAGCAGATCCACTGCTCGGTAAAGGGGTAGACAGTGCCCTGTTGGCCCACAGTGGAAAGACCTGTCCAGTGTTGTGGGGGCAGATCCCAGTGCTCCCACTGAACAAGCATCCATGTTGGACAACCCAGGGGAGCTGTGGACACTGACTGGCCTCCTGAGTTGCCCTTACTCTTCTGTTGATAACACCACCTTCATTTTGTTTGATGAAAGGCTTCCCAGAGGCCTGAGGGCATACGCGAACCCCAGAGAGCCCCTGTGAGCCCACAGATGGTACACAATGGCCGAGAACATCCTGGCTCATTTTGGTTCCCAATTCCCATCCTGCTGGTTCCTCAGCTCTTCTCAAGGGCTCCATAAAGCTCATACCAGGGCTGCGCTTGGGGCCAGCTCTCAGCATCCGACTGGCCCAAGAGGGTTACCTGTGCTATCCTGAGCAGAAGCAGTGTCTGTAGGACCACATAGTGGTGGAGGCTAAACAGCAGAGCCCCCAAACCACACTACCTTACTTCTTTTAAAGATTTTATGTGTGTATTTATTTATTTGAGAGCACAAGCAGGAGAGCACAAGGAGGGGTGCAGAAGGAGAGGGAGAAGCAGACTCCCCGCTAAGCAGAGAGCCCACCACAGGGCCTGATCCCAGGACCCCGAGGAACATGACCTGAGCCGAGGGCAGACATTTAACCAACTGAGCCCCCCAGGTGCCCCCATGTCTTGCTTTTTTTTACTTAGATGAAACGTTTAGACAAAAAGACACACGAGTGTGTACAGGGGCGCAGAGCAGAAGTCCTGCCCGTGTACAAGCACCCAGCCCAGACAGCTCTTCTCCCCACTATAGCTGATCTAGAGAACCAATCCAAAAGATCACCATCAAAACAGCATCCCACCCCCATGAAGTAAACAAGGATCCCATACTTGGAGGAAAATAACCAAGGTCTCCCCTCCCACAGATCAGAGCACAGAACAGAGACATGGGCCCTCTTGGTAACAAGCGCCTAGAGGATAGGGCGCCTGGGCGGCTCAGTCAGTTCAGCAGCTGCCTTCAGCTCAGGTCATGACCCCAGGGTCCTGGGATGGGGCCCTGCGTCAGGCTCCCTGCTCAGCGTGGGCTCTTCTTCTCCCTGTGCTCCCTTGCCCGCTCTCTTGCCCACACATGCTCTCTCTCTCAAATAATAAATAAAATCTTTAAAAAACAGAAACACATGGCAACATGAAAGCTTGGAGGAGGGCTCTCCCCCGGAGGCCCCCTGCCGACGCCAGCAGGCCCTGAGGAGACCCACCTCTGCTTACTGGACGTCTCTTCGGCTTTGGGCCGCCAGCCCCACGGCACCAGCTGCAGGTTGTCCAGACGGTTGTCCACGGTCACAGCGTTGAGGTGCACCACCTGAAACCCGGGAGCGATGCCTCCCCTGTGACGCTCCCTAGGAAACAGACGACTCTCACCATCTGCCGCCTCCACACCCCCACCCCCCAACTGCAGCCCCGGGGCCCGAATTGGGCCCCTGCCACACTGCGGGGACAGTCAGGAGCAAGGCTGCTGCGAGGAATCCAACTATGTGAGTCTGTGGCCAAACACGATGGACCATGCTGGCAGTTCAGCCCCTTGACTGAAGAGCTAGGCGGCAAGAAGCCGGGCTGGAACCCCGAGCATCACACGCAGAGCCTGGAGCTTACCCCACCCGAGCAGCGGCAAGCATTTCGGAACTCCACCACGCGCGCCAAGGAGAGGCAGGTCGTCCCTCACAGCCCACTCACAGGCTCGGCAAGAACACAGTAGAGGGAGCCAAGCCCACCCTACCCCAGAGGAGGCTGTGTCAAGGCAGGTTGCTCCACGGACGCCGGGTGCCCTGTGCACAACAGGGCTCACGCGGCACCCAAACGGGAAGCAAGCAGCTGGAAAACACCTACCACAAAAGCTCATGAAGGAGCCTTCCCGACCCTCTTCCTCGGTTTTTGTCAAAGGCATATGCAAATATCTTAGCACCGTTTCCGTCTGCGTCTACTTCCATCCGGGCCTGAGAGAGAACGAGGAGAAGATCTGTTAAAAAGCCTGATTCTCAGCTCCACTTTGAATCCCTCTGAAGGAAAGTGAAGTGAAACAGACAAGCCAGGGCACATAAATGAGGCCTGTTTCTGGGACCCAGGGCTCTACAGAGGCTCCCTGTCATGAGCAGCCGGCCCTGTATCCCAACAAGCATGCACTTACAACCCACTCTGAGAAATACTGCAGACACAGAGAAACTTTCTCATTTTTAGCAAAACCCCACAATTCGGTGAGAAAAACGCTTGGACAAGTAACTAACAGTTGACCCCTGAACGTGTAGGGGTCAGGCACACTGAACCCCACACAGCTGAAGACCCATGTGGTTCCTGAGACAGCTAACACATATTTTATACTTTAAACACAACATATGCTACATTCTTACAATAAGGTAAAGTTAGAGAAAGGACAACGCTTTTAAGAAAGTCATAAAGAGAAAAAATACTTACAGTACTGGGGTGTATTTATCAAAAAAATCCCCCCAAATAACCAAAAAACAAAAGTACCACACCCACATCTAAGTTAACCCGTGCAGTTCAAACTCGTGTTGTGCTGGGGTCACCTGCACCGTGAAAGCACGCGTGCGGCGGTAACAGGGTAGCGGCTCCGCAGACCCCTGGAGGACTTCCGGAGGGGAGGAGCCGGTAGGTGAGGACTGGCGGGTAAGCCGAAGCTCGTCAAGAAGAGCACAGCAGAAGCAGGGGAGCTCAGGAAGATGAGAGAACGGACAGCACCAGGGCCCAGCAGCGACGGCGGGGCCCGGCCAGAGGGAAGGCGAGGTGGCCCTGGACAGTCTCCTAGGCAGCCAGGGCTTGTCCAGCTGAACATTCAACCACACACATGACACAGTTTGATCTGTTTTCAGGAAGAGTCAGCCACCAGGGTGAAGGTGGGAGAGGACGCCATCATGGTGGCAGTGAAAGCCCGGCTGCCCTCGCAAGGGATAAAACCCGCCCCTGGCGACCCTCCCCGGCACTGACTGAAAACAGCTCAGCTGAGAAACAGCCACCCTTACCTCAAAGGAGTAGCCCTCCACCAGCGGGATATCTTGCTCATCTATCAGTGTGTACTTGGTCTGGAAATTAATCACGTTTCAACATGTTACGTTCAGGGTCACAGTCAAGTATCAGCCTTAGACAGAAACTGGCCCTTCCCGCTGTGGAGCAGGTGAGGGGCACGAAGCAGCCTACCCCCTACAGCAGGTGGTTGTTTCCCACTCGAGACTGTAGCACAGGAGCAGACATCAGGCCTCCCTTCCCATCCACATGTGCGAGAACCGAAGGGCCACTGAGCTGGCTGACCTCTAGGCTGTGTGTCTGAGCGCGCCGGTAAGCCAAACCCGAGAGGGAGGCTTGCTCAGAACAGAAGAAGGGGCCCTGGATGGAGGCAGAACGTCCCGAAGGCTTCCGTGAACGTGTTTATTAAGTGGGCGGCGGTACCCCCGAGCTGCTGCTCGCTTAGCTTGCTCACGGAAACATTCCGAGTGAATGGAAGGCAGGACGCTAGCTCGCCCGGTCCCTGAGTTAGAGGGACCGCAGAGCTGCGGGGAGCCCCCCTTCCCTAGGTAAAGTGACACGTTCCTCTTGCAGGAAACGCAGGAAACGTCCCCCAAACGGACTAGTCGCATTCTTGCTCGGAAAGCCTTTTTCTAAGATCTAAGCCGGTTTTACCTTCATCTGACTGCCTCTGCTCCTCTCTCCCACCAGAAGCTTCCGCCGCTGGTGATGGGAACAGGGTTCCCATCCAGGGTAAGGTCCGTGGCTGGTGCAGCTGCACGGCCGGCCGGCTCCTGGAAACAGCCAAGCCTCAATGCCCACAGGTGCCAGGAAGCCCCGGCCTCGACCACGCGGAGGGCGGGGCCCGGTAAGGGAGAGAAGCAGAGGGAGGCCCTGCTCTGGGAGGCCCACCGAGGCCCGTCCAGCCCCGGCCACCGCGGGCGGCGTGAACCCTGCGCGAAGCTCCACTGCGGACGACCAGCACCGAGACACACGCAGGCCGCCTCGCCAACGAGCGAGCGGGCCTCGGAAGGGTGCCGGCTGCCCGCGGCCGCCAGCCCCATCCTGGCCCGCGAAGACCCGCCGCCGCCGCCGCCGCCGCCCGCCCGCCCGCCTGGCCCCGCACCCCCCCCCGCGGCTCCGGCCCCGCGCCCCAGCTCCCGCGCCGCTCACCTTCCCGGCCACCCGGCCGAGCCGCACGATGCCCAATTTGAAGTCGGTCATGGCCGGGCCTGCGCTCGGCCGGCGGCGCCGCTCCCTCGGGAGGCGCCGGGCCGGGACCGGGGCCGGGCCGGGGCGGCGCCGCGGCGCGCCGGGTGGGCCGGGCCGGCGGGCCGGGGTCGGGGCCGGGCGGGACGAGGCTGGGCCGGGCTCGGGCCGCCGCCGCCTCGCGCCCGCCGGACCTGCCACGCGCCGCCGCCGCCGCCGCCGCCGCCGCCGCCGCCGCCGCCGCCGCCGCCGCCGCCGCCGCCGCCGCCGCCGCCGCCGCCGCCGCCGCCGCCGCCGCCGCCGCCGCCGCCGCCGCCGCCGCCGCCGCCGCCGCCGCCGCCGCCGCCGCCGCCGCCGCCGCGCGCACCACCGCGAGCGGAGCCGGAGGCGGGGCGGGGCGCGGACACACCCCCGCCCGCCGCCGACCCGCCAATCGCGGGGCGCGCACCTGCGCCGGCCGGCGCGCGCCGCCGCGCCGTGGCCAATGGGAGGAGGGAGAGTGCGCCGGCGCATTGAGGAGCGGAGGGAGGGCGGGGGGCGGGGAGGGGCGCGGCCAGGGGCGGTGCCTACGCGGCCGCCCCACGCTACGTCAGTTTCGCGGGAAGCTTTGTGCTAGAGGCCGCGCTCCGGCTCCTGCTCCTCGCTGCGGGCTCCAGGCTCCGACCCAGCGCCGGACCCCGCACAGGGCTCCCGACCCCGCGACCAGACCGCGGCCCCCGGCCTCGCATCCCCACACCCGACCCTGCGACCCGGCCCGCGCGCGCGACCTCCCTCGCGGAGGGGCCGACGGGGGGCCCTGTGGGCTGGGGTTTCTGCGGGGCTCGCTGCGGCGCCAGGCAAACGGCCCCGCCTCCGCAGGACGCCGCGCGGGGGCCGGGGGTGGGGGGCCGAGCGCCTCCGGGACCTGGGCCCGCGCCCGCGCGTCTTCCTGCCCGGGCCGAGCGCCTCCTCCGCGCCGGCGCCCAGCGGAGGACCACGGCGGCGCGCGGTTGCCCACGCGGCGCACCCTCAGGCCGCCGCGGCCTCCCTCGGCTCTCCCGCTGCTGACCGGGCGGTGGGGATGTGCCGGCGGTTGGGGCGGCGGGTCCGGCTCCTTCCCGAGCAGGCGCCCCTGGGCGTGAGGCCTCCGAGCGCTCTCACCGCGTTTGCCGGCAGCCGCCCTCGGGGGCTGTCATGCTGCGCCGGGGCGCGACGCGAAAGCCCCGGTCGCGTTTCGGTTGGGGCGCGGGAAGGCCCGCGGGGAGTGCTGCGGGGCACGCAGGCAGGTCGGGGGCTGGGGCTGGGGTCCGAGGGAGGGCGGTGGGCGGGGGATGCCTGGCTGACCAGGCGTGAGCGGCGTGGGCCGGAGAGGGCACGTGTGAGAACGTCGGACGTCCGTGGTCACCGGACGGGACCGCAGGACAGAAACGGGCCCAGATCAGGGATAGGAGGGGCCGGAGCGGGGCCAGCAAGCTCTTATGGGGACTTTGACTTTTACACCTAGAGAAATGAGGCCGTCGGAGGACTTAAATAGAAGAGTAGCTGTTCCCTGAATGGAGCTGGCGGGTGGCACCGGAGTGCAGGGGGGAATGGAAGCAGGAAGGCTACTTAGCAAGTGAGCACAAGTCGCTGCCCGAGAGATCATGGGTGTCTGGACACAAGTGGCCAGTGTCCTGTAGCCCGGTTTATGCTTCAGGAACAACCCGAGACTCTCAGCGGCTCAGCAAAATAAAGATGAGTTTCTGGTTCATGCTTCATGTTAAGGTTGCAAAGGAATTGAGTATATGAGTAAAGAGTTCAGGGGGGCTGTCCAGCCTGGGGTGCAAACTCGGCATTCCATAGCACATTTGTTTATTTATTCACTTTTCAAAGATTTTATTTATTTATTTGACGGAAAGATCACAAGCAGGCAGAGAGGCAGGCAGAGAGAGGAGGAAGCAGGCTCCCCGCTGAGCAGGGAGCCTGATGTGGGGCTCTATCCTGGGACCATGAGATCATGACCTGAGCTGAAGGCAGAGGATTTAACCCACTGCGCCCCACATTTGTTGTGTTTGAAGCCATGCAACTGGATGAGATCACATTGGAAGAAAATGTGGAGGGGCGCCATGGGTGGCTCAGTCGGTTAAGCATCTGCCTTCAGTACAGGTCATGATCCCAGGGTCCTGGGATCCACCCTTGTGTCGGGCTCCCCACTCACGGGGGAGCCTGCTTCTCCCTCTGCCCCTCTCCCTTGCTCCTGCTCTATCTCTCTCTGTCTTGCAAATAAATAAATAAAATCTTAAAAAAAAAGAAAATGGAGATAGCAAAGGAGGGGTCAAAGACTGAGCCGGGGTCTGGGTACTCCCTTACAAAAGGGGAAAAGAGGTTGAAAAGAGAAGGAACCAGTAAAGAGAGGGAGATGTCAAGTAAGAGGAAAACCAGGAGAGGGTAGTAGCTTGGGAGCCAAGTAAAGACTGTGAAAGAAAGATTAGCCACATCAGGTGCTGCTGATAGGTCCTGTGACGTTGGGGTCGGGAATTGATAACTGAGCAAAATGAGGACACTGATAGCCTCGACCAGTACAGCTCTTGATGGAGTGATGGCGGACTAAGTCCGTCTGAGGGCTTAGAAGGGAAGGATAGGAGAAGATTGAAGGCTGTGAGACAGACAACTCTTCTGAGGTGTTTTTGCTAAAAACAAGAGCAGAGAAATGGGGCCAAAACTGGAAAGAGAAGGGAAGTGGAGAGATTGTTGGTTTTAACAGGAGTGATCCTATAGAGGAGAGTTGCTGGCAAAGGAGGACTAGGTAGGGAGGTAGGAGCATGGGTGTTTTAGCTCAGTACAAAGGAGAGAGTCTGATGAAAAGTCTCTGGAAGGCAAGGGGGTGTGCAGGCAGGATTTGGGGGGGAGTTCTCTGGTGATGGGAACTTTCTACTTTCTCATATAAGTAGAAAACAAAGACATCAATTGAAAATGTGGACAGGAGAGCAGATGCTGGCAGAGCAAGGAGAGGTCTAGAAGCAATGTAACTGTCTAGGAGAAAAGTAGAAAAAGGCGGCAGGACGGCCCAGCAATGTCTTGGGTGTCTCTCAGTGTGACTATCCGTCCAGCCTGTGTCGCTGCTGCGAGGAGGGCAAGGAGAAAGAAGGGGGGCTGGCTTAGCTAAAACTGTGGCTGTGCTGAGAAGGAAGGGGAGCGGTTTCGCACAGAGAGTGGCCCAGATGGCTGCCTGTGGCCTTAGAGCTGAATGAGGAAAGGAGAGAGAACAACAGAGGGGGCAGGGCCAATGGGTTGGGGCTCCCAGCGGAGTCCCAAGGATTGCAGGAGTCATGACACTAGAGAGAGTGGGCTAGCAGGACAGGAGGCAGTAGCCAGAGACGTGTGGACTTGAGATCATGAGGGCAGTGGCTGTTGGTGATGACTGTATGCTTTTGTGCAAAAGAACCACTCCAGAACCTTATGGCTTAAGACAATATTGATTTATTATTTTTTGCAATTCTGTGATTGGGGTCTTCTGGGTTGCACTCAGCTGGGAATTCACTGGAGTGCCTCTTTGTCTTGCATGTGACTTGTCTTTGTGTGATGTCTCATGCAGAGTCCCCCCACATGGCCAGGCAGGATAGCTGGACTTCCTTCTAGCATGGAAGCCATGTGCAAGCATTTATGGGGCCTCGGCTTGAATTCTTGCTGGCATCCCACTGGCCAAAGCTAGTCACCAGAGCAAGTCAAAAGTCAGTGTAGGAAGGCTCTTCACTTGGGGGGCTCACTTGGGGGGCTGCTAGTGGAGCAGCCTGCCCCCAGTCCATCCGCTGGTGTCTAACAACTCATGCTCCTCCTCCTTGAAAAATGCATCTCCCAGGTGATCCCACAAACACCATCTCATCAAGACTCGCCTTGGAGTCTCGCATGCTGTAATGTGCAACGGGGCCAGATGGATAAGGCACATTGGGTGTGGCCCCTTTTCCCCCAAGGGCATATTATCTGCCCCCCAACAGCCAACATTCAGTGGCAAAGCACAGTGCGAGTGAACAGACACCCTGTCCAACAAGGAGGGTTATACCCTTAGTCACTGGCCCACGGCAGTTCTGGAATCCAGCTAACACCTGTCACAACCCTCCTTGACCAGGGCTGGTCTGCTCCCTGCAAGTGGCTCCCTTGGCTACTGTTTCTTTCTTTCCTTTTTTTTTTTTTTTTCTTAGATTTTATTTATTTGACAGATCACAAGTAGGCAGAGAGAGAGGAGGAAGCAGGCTCCCTGCTGAGCAGAGAGCCCGATTCAAGGCTTGATCCCAGGACCCTGAGACCATGACCTGAGCCAAAGGCAGAGGCTTAACCCACTGAGCCACCCAGGCGCCCCTTGGATACTGTTTCTTGCGTTCTTGGTTCCTCCTCCGGGCACTGGGCCTTGTACTCGCAATGGCCCTCTTTTCCATAGGAAGTGGCCTGTGTTTTCAGCTGAGTACCTTCGTCAGCCTGCGTCCTGTCGGTTAAAAGCAGGGGCCCAGCAACTTTTTTATTTCAAAATCTGTCCATTTTACATTTTACCTCGAGCAGATACAACCCTTTAAGTAAAAATGGATTTTCGGGGCACCTGGGTGGCTCAGTGGGTTAAAGCCTCTGCCTTCCGCTCAGGTCGTGATCTCAGGGTCCTGGGATCAAGCCCCACATCGGGCTCTCTGCTCAGCGGGGAACCTGCTTCCTCCTCCTCTCTCTCTCTGCCTGCCTCTCTGCCTGCTTGTGATCTCTGTCAAATAAATAAAATATTTTAAAAAATGGATTTTCTCTATGACAAACTGTACCTTGTTTCACTGGACAAAAGCTATACTGCAAACGTCTTTGAGAAGGCTTTTCTCTCCTGTGGCCCGGGAGTCAGATGCTGTGGGACAATGACCTCAAGATTCTCAGAAGCCCTTTTGTATGGCTGAGGGGTTCTACAAGGACTCTCTCTCCCCCACCCAAGAGCCTCAGAAGTCTTCAGAAGGGATCATACAACCATACCCTTGACTTTCACGCTCACGTTTGCTGGCAGCGCTCCGGGTTTACTCTTCACCACGACATCATTTCTTACCTTTAGAACTTTTTGCTGCCTGGAAAGGTTGGAAATG